GCCGGCTCCCGTCCATATTATCAGCGACCACCTGTCGTTTGTCAGGGAAGGTACTTCTTGGGACCCTTCCCTCGGACAGGGTTTGTCGCCCCATGCTTCTATTTGGCGGAAGTTTTTCAATTTGGGGCTGGGGGAGCAGGAGCGACCGAGCTTCGGGTGGACCCCTGCCCACCGTACTCTGGACCAGCTGATCGCGGACCGGGCTCCGCATTCCGAGATTTGGAGATTCCTGGGGAACGCTTGGGCCGACTTCTTTGCCAAGCTGGGAGCCCAGGAGTATGAGGTGGCGAAGGTTGCGGTAGCCTCCTTGGAAGCCACCATCTCCAACACGAAGCTCTCATGAGATTTTTCAGGCCGGGCCGTGCAAATGATCTGTGCTCGGCCTGAGGTCTCCGCTCCGTGCGGGGACCGACCAGCTCCGAGCGCTCCAGCAGCGCCCGCGGTCCCAGCGTTGGTAGTGATTGCGCACGACCCTGTGGCTATGGGTCGGGCAGGCCATGTGCAGTGCCGCAGGTGCCTAGCTATAGCTCGCACCAGCGTGTCCAAGAAATGCCTTTTGAAGCCTGGCGCAATTTGTTCGCCCTCCCCCATGCTTGCCCAGCTTGCCGAAGCTGTCGAGCGCATGGGGTGGAGAGACAAGAAAGTATTTGTTTCTGGTCCTTTCTTCTACTGCCGCCGATGCGGTGCCCGTGCGGCGGTCGGTTCGGCGAAGTTGGATGCCCTCTCCTCTGGTTGTCCCGACAACCCGCCCAATGCCGCTCGGCGCAAGGCCCGCGACAATCTCGCGGACGGCAGGGATCCGGTTTCCGGAGTCCCCTTTTCCAGGGCAGTTTAACTCGTTGAGTTTTGATTGTGTGTCGCGTGACGTTTGACGTCTTTACTCGCACGCGGCCGTCCATGTCTTTGTTGCAGGCGTGCTCTCGGTTTGCTGATTGCACGTCCTCGGCCATGCTCCCATGCTCCTCCTCCTCCTCCTCCTCATCATCATCATAATCATCATCAGCATCATCATCATCATCATCATCATCATCATCATCATCATCATCATCATCAGCATCAGCATCAGCATCATCATCGTCCTCCTTCTCCTCCGCCCTCCTCCCTCCCTCCCTCCCTCCCTCCTCCTCCTTCTCCTCCTCCTTCTCCTCGTCTTCCTCCTCCTTCTCCTTCTCCTCCTCCGCCTCCTCCTCCTCCTCCTCCTCCTCCTCCTCCTCCCCCTCCTCCTCCTCCTCATCCTCATCCATCCTCCTCCTCCTCCTCCGTAGCCATTTTGGCTCAGGCCGTGTTTCCCGCTTTCTCCGCAGCCTTTTCGCCCATGTTCGGCGGTTCGGCGGCGGCGGCGGCGGCGGGCGCGCCCTGGATGGCTGCGGGGGGCTGCCCGCCGATGTGGCGGCCCAGTGAGTTGAGGATCATGGAGAAGGACTCCCTCGGCGCCTCCGCGGCGAGGCGTGCTGCTCGGCGGCGCGGTCGCGCTGCTGTAGAAACAGCTTTGCGGCCGCTCGTGGCGGCACGCGGCGCCCCGGGCTCGCGGGTGGACCGCGAGCGTGCGTCGAGGCCGGCTTTGCAGAGGATTGCTGCAGGTGATCGTGTTCCTGGCGCGATGCGGCTGAGGCGGAACGCTGCCTGGCACGCGTGCCGAGTGCCGCCTGGCGGCTTCACGGCCGCGTCCTCGGCGGATCTGTCCTGGGCTGCTGCTGGGCCTCGGTTGGGGCACACTGCTGGTGGCATGCGGGCTGAGGCCACGCCATTCGTGCCGCGGGCTGCCTGCCGCGCGGTGGGCGTGCGCTGCAACTGCGGTACCACGGTTTGGCCGCTGCCTGGCGCCTCGCCCGTGTGGCCGCCTTCGGAGGCAGCCATGGCGCAGGCGTTCGCGCTAATCCAGCCCCCTGCGGCGCAGATGCCGAGCGTGACGGAGTCCGAGTATTGCGAGAGCGTGGACGTGGACTTGGAGGTGGCTGCCCGTCGCGTGGCTCATCCCGAGCAGTTGCGGAACGCTGGCGCGGCTGTGGCGTGTGGCTACCCTGGAGCTCGACGTATGGAGTCGGCTGAGGGTGCTGTGGCGGATGGCTCCTTCGCGGTGCAGGGGGAGGCGTGCGGCGGCGCGGCCGCCGACGAGTTCATGGACGCGCAGGTCTCGCTGGCGCCGATGGCTGGCGCGGTGCGGGGCGGAAAGGAGGGCGAGGGCGACGGCATCTCGGAGGCTGCGTCGGCCGCTGTTCGTGCCCCTGGCGGTGGGTCGGGCTTCGTGCAGGGTGCCGTGGAGCCGAAGAAGCGACGTGGTGCTTTCTTGGCCGTCCTGGAGCGGGAGGGCCTGTCCGTCGCCTCCTTCCGCCCTTGAGTTCGCCGCGGTGCTCGTCGGCGTCTCCGTGCTCCACTGCACGGTCGGGGGCCCAGTGCTGGTCTGGTCCAGCGTTGGCCCCCGCGGTGGTCGGGGGGTCCAGGGCTGGTCAGGTCCAGCGCTGGCCCCCCGCGGAGCGCACGTGTGTGCACATCCACGCCACGCCACTCCTCCTCCTCCTCCTCCTCCTCCTCCTCCTCCTCCTCGCCCTCGTCCTCCACCTCCTCCTTCCTCCTCCTCCTCCCTCCTCCCCTCCCTCCTCCTCCTCCTCCTACCTCCTCCTCCTCCCCCTCCGTCCCCCCCGCCCCCCTCCCCTCCTCCTCCTCCTCCACCTCCTCCTCCTCCTCCTAACTCCTCCCTCCGCCCTCTCCTCCTCCTCCCCTCCTTCCTCCTCCTCCTCCTCCTCCTCCTCCTCCTCCTCCGCCTCCTCCTCATCCTCCCCCTCCCCCCTCCCCCTCAGCCCCTCCCCCTCCTCCTCCTCCTCCTCCTCCTCCTCCTCCTCCTCCACCTCCTCATCCTCCTCCTCCTCCTCCCTCCTCCTCCCTCCCTCCCTCCCTCCCTCCCTCCTCCCTACCTCCCTCCAGTCCCTCCCTCCCTCCCTCCGTCCCGTTCTCCCGTCCACCTCCCTCCCTCCCTCGCTCCCTCCCTCCCTCCCGCCCTTCCCCCCACCCCTCCCTCCCTCCCACCCCCCCTCTCCACCTCCTCCTCCTACTAACACCTCCTCCTCCTCGTCCTCCTCCCTCCTCCTCCTCCACCCTCCTCCTCCTCCTCCTCCTCCTCCCCTCTCCTCCGCCCTCCTCCCTCCTCCCTCCCACTTGTTTCCTCATCCTGCCTCCACCTCGCCTCCTCCTCCGTCCTCCGCATCCTCCTCCTCCCCCTCCTCCTCCTCCTCCTCCGCCCTCCTCCCTCCCCGCCCTCCTTTTCCTCCTCCTCCTCATTCTCGTCCTCCTCCTCCTCTTCCCTCCTTCATCCTCTTCCCTCCTTCCTCCTCCTCCTCCTCCTCGTCATCATCATCATCATCAGCATCATCATCATCATCATCATCATCATCATCATCATCATCATCAACTACAGGGAACTCTTCCTGCACTGGTGCGAGCGCCACGGAGGCGGGGGTGGCTTCGGTGGACTCCTCCCGTAGCGGAGGGGCACGGCCAGGAGGGTACCCTGCGCGGGCGCCCCTGGTGACGCCGCACACCGCAGAGTTGCAGAGGTGAGTGGCGGGAGCGGCTTCGGTGGACTCCCCCCGTTGGGGGGGAGCACGGCCAGGCGGGTGCCTTGCGTGGGTGCCCCTGGTGACGCCGCATACCGCGGGGATGCCGACGGCGTCGGCTCTCTCAGAGCAGCGCAGTGTGAGCTGAGCGAGTGCGCAGTCCGTAGTGCTCAGTGGGCGTATTTCTCTGCCCGTAGTGCTCAGTGTTCGTATTCCTTTGCCCATTTGCACTCCTGCTCGGTCGAACTGCTCAGTCTCCTCTGCCCGTAGTGCTCAGTGTGCGTTTTTCTCTGGGTGTACTGCGGCAGCCGCCACGGCGACTGCGCTGTGCGGCCAGCCGCGAGGCACGTGGCCGTGCATCGCGAACTTAAGCTCGGGTGTAGCCCGATCCTAGGGGCATTTCCAGTCTCGCAGGTACTTGCTGGCCCACTGGATTCTGATCTGATCTGATCTGATCATCATCATCATCATCAGCATCAGCATCAGCATCATCATCATCATTATCATCATCAACATCATCATCATCATCATCATCATCATCATAAACATCATCATCAACATCATAATGTTCCCTCCTCTCCCCTCCTCCTTCCCTTTTCCTCCTTTTTACCTCCTCTCCTCCTCCTCCTCCTTCCCCTCCTTCTCTCTCCCTCCCCCTCTACCTCTCCTCCTCCTTCATCCTTCCCTCCTCCTCCTCCCCTTCTCCTCCTCCTCCTCCCCCTCCCTCACTCCTCCTCCTCCTCCTCCTCCTGCTCATCCTCCTCCTCCACCTCCTCCTCCTCCTCCTCCTCCTCCTCCTCCCCCTCCCTCCTCCCTCCTCCCTCCTCCTCCTCCTCCCCTCCTCCTCCGCCGCCCCCTCCTTCTCCCGCCTCCCCCCTCCTCTTTCCTCCTCCCCCGTCCTCCCTCCCTCCCTCCTCCCTTCCCTCCGTCCCTCCCGCCCTCCCTCCCACCTCCCATCCTTCCTCTTCTTCTTATCCTCCTCCTCCTCCTCCTCCTCCTCCTCCTCGCTCCTAACCAACCCTCCTCCTCTCCTCACCCTCCTCCTACTCTCCTCCTCCTCCTCCTTCTGTCCTCCCTGCCTCAGTCCTCGTCCCTCTCCTCCCCTCCTCCTTCCTCCTCCATTCTTCCTCCTCCTCCCGCCCTCCTCCCTCCCCTCCCTCACCTTTTCCTTCTCCTCCACCTCCTCCTTCTCCTCCTCACTACCTTCTCCCTTCCTCCTCATTCTCCTCATCAATCATCATCATCATCAATCCTTCCTCAGATAACCTCCTTTCCTCTTCCTCCTCCTCCTACCTCCCTTCTCCTCTTCCTCCCTCCCTCCCTTCCCTCCCTCCTCACCCTCCCTCCCTCCCTCCCTCCCTCCCTCCTCCCCCCGCGCCCGTCCTGGACCCCCCTCCTCCCCCCCGCGCCCCGTCGGCGGCACGGCTCGCGCCCGGCGGCCGCCGCGAGCGCCACGCAGACGCTGGCCAGGGGCGGCGACCGGCCCGCGGTGGGCGAGCAGCTCGCTCCGGAGGCCCGCGGTGAGTCCCCGGGTCGCTGCGACGACGACGACGACGACGACGACGACGACGACGACGACGACGACGACGACGACGACGACGACGACGACGACGGCGGCGGCGGCGGCGGCGGCGGCTGCGACGACGACGGCGGCGACGGCGATGACGACGACGGCGGCGACGGCGACGACGGCGACGACGAGGCTGGTGGGGGGCCGCCACGCGGCAGTCCTTGAGTCGGGCGCGTCCCTCTACTCATTCAGTGGCGAAGCGTCCTGGCTCGCCTACAGGCCCACCAAGGAGAATGCTCTAAGAACTTTTGTTTGGGGTCTGCACGACATGTTTTTGAAGCATTTCTTGCTGAGGCCGTGTTGTTTGAACACATTTGGTTATATGTTCTAGGAACGTCCGTTTTTTTCTGACCTTTTTTGGGGTTCGATGACTATCTCGTGGTATGCCTAAAGGAATGCCAGGACGGTCGGTCCATGCTCAATCTATAGGAGGAAGAAGCAAGGATATTAAAGCAATAGTCTGGAGACAATTTTCAGACTTGTTTTGTTGCTGCAACTGTCCTTGAATATGGTTTGACTATGTTTTGATATATCTTCCGAACTCCGCCTGTGGCGAGCAGCTCCACCTGGAAGCCGGGCGGGGTCGCCACGAGGCAGTCCTTAAGTCGGGCGCGTCCCTCTACTCAAGCAGTGGCGAAGCGTCCTGGCTCGCCTATGGGCCCACCAAAGAATGTGATGAGAACCTGTTTGTGGTCTACACGACATGTTCTTAGAGCATTTCTGGCTGAGACCGTTGTGCTTTACCACGTCTGGACACTGCTCTAAGAACATTGTTATTGTTATTATAGGGCTTTCAGGTTCTAAGAAGATTTCGTGGTAGGCCTATAGGAATGCTGGGACGGTGGGTCCCTGCTCAATCTACAGGAAGAATATGCAAGGAGAGTGAAGAATAGTCTGGGGGCGCTTTTCGACTATCTTTGACAGTTGTTTTTGAATATGTTTGGACTATGTTTGAGTTGTCATCCAAAATCCGCCTGTGGGGGGACATGCCCTGCCAAATTCAAGGCTTCCGTCGGAGTAGATGGTGCCAGAGGATCGCGCCGCATCGCCGATGCATCTGCGATGCGGCCCGATGTGGGGCCCAATTTTTCTCCACGCCGACGTCGCCGATGCATCGCCGACGTCGCCAACGCATCGCCGATGCATCGGATTCAATGCATCGGCGAGTGCAGCGCGATCCTTCGACCCCATCTACTCCGACCCCATCTAGGAGGCCTCTAGATGGGGTCGCCGTGAGGCAATGGCGGCCTCCTCGGTATGGTCGCGCCCTACAGAGGGGGCGCGCATCCAGAAACTGAATGTTGTTCTTCGGGGTACCCCTGGCTTCTTCGCTTCGCGAGCCGCGCAGTGACTGTCCGCGGCCGTCAAAGGAGCTCTTGCGTTCAGGGTGCTCCGGGTTTCCCCTCGGGTGCACCTCGCGCGCGGCTTTCGGGGTTGGGTCTCTTGCGAGGGTTTCTTGCGACCGCGCCCGCACTGGATTGCCGATCGGCGATGCGGCGCGATGTGGAACCTGCTTTGTTGCACGCCGGCGTCGACGATGCATCGCCGATGCCCCGATCCCATCTATTCGGACCCCACCCGGTCAGAGCCCCGAATCATCAGGGATAATTCGGGTCAGGGCTAACTCGGGTTCGTTTTTCGGGAATCCGAACCCGAGTTGCCCCGGGCCCGAGTTACCCCGGATAACTCGGGCGTCCAGAGCCCCAAATCATCAGGGATAATTCGGGTCAGGGCTAGCTCGGGTTCGTTTTTCGGGAATCCGAACCCGAGTTGCCCCGGGCCCGAGTTACCCCGGATAACTCGGGCGTCCAGAGCCCCAAATCATCAGGGGTAACTCGGGTCAGGGCTAACTCGGGTTCGTTTTTCGGGAATCCAAACCCGAGTTGCCCCGGGCCCGAGTTACCCCGGATAACTCGGGCGTCCAGAGCCCCGAATCATCAGGGATAATTCGGGTCAGGGCTAGCTCGGGTTCGTTTTTCGGGAATCCGAACCCGAGTTGCCCCGGGCCCGAGTTACCCCGGATAACTCGGGCGTCCAGAGCCCCGAATCATCAGGGATAATTCGGGTCAGGGCCAGCTCGGGTTCGTTTTTCCGGAATCCGAACCCGAGCTGCCCCGGGCCCGAGTTACCCCGGGATAACTCGGGCGCCCAGAGCCCCGAATCATCAGGGATGATTCGGGTCAGGGCTAGCTCGGGTCCGTTTTTCGGGAATCCGAACCCGAGTTGCCCCGGGCCCGAGTTCCCCCGGGATGACTCGGGCGCCCAGAGCCCCACATCATCAGGGATGATTCGGGTCAGGGCTAGCTCGGGTCCGTTTGTTCGGGAATCCGAGCCCGAGTTGCCCCGGGCCCGAGCTACCCCGGGATAACTCGGGCGCCCAACCGGGGAGGTCTCTAGCCAAGGGCTCCCTCGAGGGCGCGAAGTTATTCGCGCTTCGCGGTCCTCGTTCCTCCTCCCCCTCCTCCTCGTCCTCCTATTCTCCCTTTGGGAGGGCGGCGCGAGAGCGCGAAGTTATTCGCGCTTCGCGCTTCGCGCAGCGCGAAGCGCGAAGTTGGGAGCCCTAGAACCCGAGTTGCCCCGGGCCCGAGTTACCCCGGGATAACTCGGGCGCCCAGCCGGGGAGGTCTCTAGCCCAGCGGGTCCCGAGGGGAAGCGGGCCCTCGGGCTGCTGGCCGTGCCCGGGCTCCCGTGGAAGAAGCAGCTCGGGGCGGAGGGCCTCTCCGGGGAGCAGGCCCCAGGGGTCCAGGGCTCGGTTCCCTCGGGGCTCGGTTCCTCGCATGCCGGCGAGGGGCCCCAGAGTCTCGCCACGAAGCAAAGTGGACTTCCTCATTCTCCTCCCATTCCTCCTCCTCCTCCTCCTCCTCCTCCTCCTCCTCCTCCACCTCATCTCCTCCTCAAACTCCCAAATGTCTGTTCCTTCTGAAGAACTCCTCCCTGTCACCCCCCGAGGCCGGTCGAAAGAGCGGGCTGGGTGTTTTCGCTTGAGCCTTCCTCACCATTTATGACCCTGAAGCTTGACATGCGCAACGGTGTCGCAGATGGAGGGCGGGGCATATGAAGAGGGAGTTTGGAGGGAGGGCTTTTTCCAAGGTGAGTCGTGGGTTTGCACTGGTTGCCCTCCTCCTTATCTTCCCTCCTCATCTTCCTCCCTCATGTTCCTGTCCTTCCTCCCTCTCGTTTTCCACCTGTTCCCTCCCTCCTCCATCCCTCCCTCCCTCCTCTCCTCCTCCTCCTCCTCCTCCTTCTTCTCCCCACTCCGTCTCATCCTCCTCTTTTCCTGCAGCGCCGGAACGGACGAGCTCGCCCTGGAGGCATCGTTGTCGTTGTTGTCGTGGTGGTCGTTGCGGTGGTGGTGGTCGTCGTGGTGGTCGTGTTGGTGATGATTCCAAGGGTCTCAGTCGTCGTTGTCGTGGCCGTCGTGGCCGTCGTGGTGGTCGCGGTCGTGAGAGGGATGAGGGGAGGGAGGATGAGGAGGAGGAGGAGGAGGATGAGGAAGAGGAGGAAGGAGGAGGAGGAGGACGAGGAGGAGAGGATGGAGGAGGAGGAGGAGGAGGAGGAGGAGGAGGAGGAGGAGGAGGAGTAGAGGCAGGATGAGGATCTGAGGGGGAAGAAGGAGCAGCTCGTCTTTGAGGCCAAGGGGGTTCAAGCCGTCGTCCGCGTCGTAGTTGAATCGGATGGAAGACGAGACAAAGGCACAATCATGAATCCTCGGAGGTCGTAGCGGCGCTCCGAAAGTGTATGTTAGTGCTGTGTACCTTGATTACTTTCGCCATGGTCGGGTCGTGGCCGTCGTCGAGGTCGTGGTCGTGGTTGTCGTCGTCGTCGTCGCCGACGTGTGATGGCGTCGAGGCCGAGAGAGATGTATGCCAACATGTGAGTTTTCTGATGATCGTTTGTTTGCCGATCGGCGGGAGCCCCTGCCCCCCCTCCCTCTGGTTGCTCCTCCCGCGCTCCACATGTACCCAGCCGCTGTAGGAGGGCCCAGACGGAGATCCGCTTCTCACTTGGCGTTCCTCGTGGTAGTTGCTCGACTGTGCGAGGAGGAGGCGGAGGAGGAGGAGGAGGAGGAAGAAGGAGCCTGCTCCCCCCAAAGACAAGGCGCTGGAGGAGGAGGCCGTCAAGGGCTTCGGGCTGGCGTCGGTGCTGGAGCAGCAGCTCTACGACGAGAGGATCAAGGAGGAGACTCGCTTCGTGCGCGAGCAGGCCAAGCTCCCCTGGTGGAGGCTCGGACAATCTCCAAACGGCACGAGCAGAATTCTCAGGCACGTGCTCTCAGGGGCTCCGCGCGGATTTCTTGGATCGGCGATGAACCCTCCGCGGCGGCGCCTCGCGCGGCGCCCCCCTGGCGCGCTCCGCGCGCCGGAGGGGGGGGTGGGGAGGGGCCCACCGCAGATGCCAGACGTCCGCGACGAAAGCCTCGAGCGGCTTATCGGCGGACGCGGGCGCATCGCCTCCTCCCGAGGCGGAGCGTGAAGCGCCTGTTGGACGACCTCGGCGGGATGCTCACCGCCCCGCTCCGGGGGGTGAGGCTCGCGAGGATCGGGCCGAACGAAAGGAGGGGGTACGAAATCTGCTGCGTGCAGCTGGTTTCGGCCCCGCCGCCGGGCCCATCCCTCGATGCAGGGGCGCCCCTTCTGGCGCCGGGAGGCGCCGGGAAAGTCAGCAGCGTGAGCTGATTCTGAAGCCCCTCCCCTCTGCTATCCCCCCCCTCTCGCCCGGCCCGCGAGGATCACCAGGGAGGTCTGCACCGAGAGGATCGAGTACTACAAGACCATCAAGGACCGGCAGGCGCAGCCCGAGGATGGGGACGGCGGGCCTCGGCAGGGGCTCCGGGGTGACATCCGCGGCTTCACGAAGGGCATGAAGGTGTTCTTCGCCACGTATCTGAAGAGCCACGTCATCGCCCGCACATCTCGGCGGCGAGCGAGTGGGGGAAGTGGGAGGGAGAAGGCCTTCTCAGCAGAAGGCTCGGAGGCCCCCCCCCCTTCCCGGCCGTGCGAGAGGCGCTCGAGGCCTTGCCCGAAAGCGCGCGCGAGGGCTGCTGGGAAGTCCCGCCGCCTTCTGAGGAGTCCTTCGCCGTCTCGCTTCCCCCCCCTCGCTCGCCGCCGAACATCGGACGACGAGTACCGCGAGATGCTGAACGTGACGCTCACTCGGTTTCTGGACAGCGTGGCGCAGAAGGATCCGTACACGTTCGAGCCCTTCCACCAGGCCGTCCGCGGGCCGGATTTCGATTACTATTCGTGGGGCAACCGGTTCTTCCGCCCCCTCATCAAGTACCGCTCGTCGCGCGTGGACGGCTTAGAAAATGTTCAGAGAATTCAGGACCTCCTCGCGGCTGGTGAGAACGTTGTATTGATGGGCAACCACCAGACAGAGGCGGATCCGCAGGTGCTCTCCATCCTGATGGAGATGGAAGGCTACGAGGACATCGCCGAGAAAACCATCTTCGTGGCCGGCCACAAGGTGACCACCGACCCGCTGGCGATACCTTTCAGCATGGGCCGCAACTTGCTCACCATTTACTCTAAGAAGTACCTGGATTCGGGAGCCTTACGCCCGTCCGCTGACCCCCGAGGGGCAAACTTCTGATCGCCAGCGCCGGGCGTCCTCTGGGACATTGTTTGCTGCTGGTGTGTTGTGGTGTCCCGAGTCCTCCTTGAGGGCTTCAACAGGCAGCAGGATGATGTGCGGGACAGAGGAGGAAGAGGCGATTTGGCGATGAGGAGAAGGATCGCCGCCGTAGTGCGTATGAGTAAGGGAGACGAGGGATGGTAAGCGCACGACCCTCTACTGGCCATCCTTGTTGATTCATCTTTCGAGCAGAGGGTCGACGACAGAATTAGTTGCCCCCAAAATGGATGCTTCCATCGAACCTACGACGAATACGTGGAATGTTCGTCCATCGGCTGAGAGTTCGAAGTATTTGTCGGTCGATCCGACGAGATTTGTTTGGGGGGTAACTCAATTCTGTAGTCGATCCCCCAGTCGAATGTTGGCATTGTCACCGGCAGGGCGCCGCATTTAGTGAGCCTGCAAAGAAGCGGAGGTCACGGCGGGAGCCCGGGGGAGATCGGCTCACGGTTTCCTCCCAGCCCGCTACGCCGCGACGCGCGTGACCGAGCATCTGCGCTGGTCTCGTGGCCCCCGTGTGGCCGTACAGTTCGGCACGAGCGAAATGGGCACGGAAAGAGTGGGTACGATGCCCACCAGCAGTTCCTGTCCATTTGAACAGGACCCGCTGTCCGCGCCGCCGCGGCTGGTGTCCGTTTGATGCAGGAGGCCGCCTGCCCAACAGCGGCCGCTGTTGGTTTGGGACAACATTTGTTGTTGGGCATTGCACCCATTTTTTCCGTACCCATTTCGGGCGTCCACAGCAGTCGTTCTGGAGCTCTTTGGGCGTTCGTAGGGGAACGAACAATGGCATTAACATAACATGTCGGAGGTCCGCGCGGATTTCTTGGATCGGCGCTTGGGCCCCCCAGCGGCGTCTCCAGCGCCGCCTCTGGCGCGCTCCGCGCGCCAGGGAGGGGGGTCGAGCGCCGATCCGAGAATTCCGCGCGGACCTCCGAGTTATCATGTTTATGCCAGTGTTCGTTCCCCTAGCTCGTTCTGCACGCTCCAGGAAGGCCTGCCAGCCATTTGTTTCTTCGCCCTGCCCTCTCCCATGTACCCTTCGCGCGGCCGCTCTCGTCTTCGCCTCTCCTTCTTGCACGCAGGAGAATTTGCTCAGGTCACCGAGCGCGTTCCACTATTCGCAAAGTGCCTACTCGCAAACGTCCAAGAAAACACATGTCCGCTTTGATGTAATTGATCGTAGATCCCCCGCGAAAGATATCCAGGCCATTTGCGAGTGGTTGCTTTGCGAGTCATGGAACGCGCTCGTCGATCAGCGGTTGCCCCGCGATTCGCCCCGCGCTGGTGCGGATTGCCCCTGCCCTTAGCGGGCCCTGGAAACGACAGGGCAGTTTTTTTCCCGGTTCCGTTTTGCCGTTTTGTTGCCAGTTCCGACGCCGTTTTTTTACCGGCTCCGTCGCTGTTCTTTTACGGGTTCCCGCTCCGGTTCCAATATTGGAGCCGTTTCTGTTGCCGTTTCCGGTCGCCGTTCTTTTGCCGTTTCCGTTCTCAAGGGAACTTTTTTCGGGAACGGTGACAAAACGGCCCTGCCGCTTCCGGGGCCCACTAAGAATCGGCATGCTTTTGCTGTGCTTTCTTATTCTCTGGGAGGGCCTGGCCCAATTTGCTATATCCGCCTTCCTACTTCATGTTTCTACCTACTCCTTCCGACCGACGTGCAATGGAACGCGCTCGTCGATCAGCGGTTCGCCCCGCGATTCGCCCCGCGATTGGTGCGGATTGCCCCTGCCTCGCCGCCGACTAGCAAAAGTGTCTTCGTCCTGCCGTCCATAATGGCGCGCTTGTGGGCGCTCCGAGGCCCCCTCCCCGCCGATATAGTCCCCTCGCGGCGGGCCCTCGTGCGGGCTCTCACCGTTCGCCTCGGGGCTCGCTCGAGGGGCCTCTCGAGGCCATCTGCGGGGCTCGCTTTTCGCTTCCTCCGCTGCGATCCGATCCGATGTCGATGGCTCCCGATTCGGGTTCGATTCCAGATTCCGGCTTGGGCTCCGACTCCCTAATGGAGGCCTACCAGCCTGCCGATGTTTGCCGATTCGACTTTTCCCGACTCGGCCGCCGACTTCCGTCGACCCGATTCGTTTCGATCGCCGATCCGCTTTCTCGATTCGATTCAGGGCTCTCCTGCATGTGGGCTGTTGTGGGGGGTCTTGGGGCCGCGTGGGGCTGCCTCGGGGCTGTCCTGGGGCTGAGGGTGGCCTTGGAGGCTCAGAGGGCTCGGGGGGCGCCGTGAGGAGCTCGTGTCCCGCGGGGGACAGCCAAACATATCTCACGTGTTCGTTCTCGGCGTTGGAGCACCAGGCGAAGCGCGAGGCGGGCGCGCAGGCGTGAAGGGCAGACGTGCGTTCGACGGAGCCGCTCGAGCAGGGGCCGTGCCCTCCTGGGTCAAGAGCAGGCCAGTGCGAGGTCCTGTAACGAAAAACAAATACGATGGCAACAACAACACCAACAACCAGAACACCAAGACTCACAATCAAACACAACAACAGCATCAACAACAGCAATAACAACGATAACATCAACGCCAACACCAACAACAACAGCAGCAATAGCACCAACATGAGCAATCACAACAACAACATCAACAACAGCCACACAATTTACAACATTCACAACGAACGCAACAACACCAACAACACCACCAACCACAGCACCAACACCAATACCATCGCAAACACCAACACCAACAACAACCACCACCACAACCACAACCACCAACAACAACACCAGCAGCAACGACAACAACACAACAGTAGCAGCATCAACACTTACGACAACGACAACGGCAACGGCAACGGCAACACCGATTACAACAACAATTCAAACACCACCAACAACAGCAGCAACGGCAACGGCAACAGCAACGGCAACGGCAGCGGCAGCAACAGCAGCAGCAACAACAACAGCAACAACGCCAACAGCAAACACAACAACAAACAACAACTAACGAGCCATGCAGCACTTGGCAGGGCCAAGCGTCCCGCACGCCGTCTCACCCCGCTGCAAATCGGGCGTCGGCGGCTTCTTTCGAGAAGGACGAGGAGAAAGAGCGGGCCGCAGCCCGCAACCGCCAGACGGTGGCGGAGATGCAGCGGCTGCTGATCGAGGGTGGCCACATCTTCTGGGTCGCCCCCTCGGGCGGCCGCGACCGCCGCGACCCCGAGCTCGGGGAGTTTGTGCCGGCCAAGTTCGATCCGTCGTCGGTGGGGCTGTTCAGCATCTTGGCCAAGAGAGCGGAGAAGGCCGCCCGGGCGACGAGGAGTAGACGACGTGTTTTCGTGAACGTTTTCGTGGGTGCCCGGAGGTTTTCCAGGGTGCTCTCCAGCAGCTGCGCCTCGCCGAGGGCGTTCTGGAGGTTCCCGGATCGCCCCGAACGGCCACTGGAGGCCCGAGTGATGGCACGAAAAAACCAAAAGCGGACGGCCCGTGCCAGAAACAGCACGACGACGCTCTGATCACGACGACGCGAGGAGGATACGGTAGGTTCGTGTCGTGTCGACCGGCGGCGACCCCAGCGTGGGCGTTCAAGGTTGAACGCCGCCGGCGACCCAGAATCGATCGATGTTGAACGATTGGACGTTGCGGAGACGGCCGATCGTTCAAGGTTGAACGATCCTTGCGGTGTCAAAAACCAACGCTGGGGTCGGCACGACACGAACCCGCCGTACCATCTGTGCACCGGCCGTGGACGACTCTATCTTGGGCCCGGCAGTCGGTACGTGTGATGCTTCCCCGACGAGGCCAGGAGGGCATCCGCCACTCGCAGCAGGGGGGGGCAGTGGTGGAGAAGTGAAGGCTTCTTGGAAGCACCCCTGCTTCCAAGAAGGAGCAGGCCTTGTCCACAGATGCAGGGCTGGCGCCCTCTGAGAAGCAGGGTGCTTTTAAGGAGCCGCCCCCCCTCCCGCACAAGGGGGTGGAGGGAGGGGGGAGGGCTTCTTAGAAGCCTTAGAAGCACCCCTCCTCCTTAGAAGACGCGGGCCTCATCAGCGATGTGGGGCCGGCTTGCCCTGCATCTATAGATGGGCAGCAGCCTCCTTCTAAGCAGCCTTCCCCCCTCCCCCCTGACCCCTTTGTGCGCGCCGCCAACTAAGGGCAGGCTGGCCGCCGCGATGTTTGTCGAGGGGCCGGATGTTCGGGGAGGATCTATGTGTAGTTGGCGTCTCCTTGGTGATTATGTACGGTTGGCGTTTTTCCGACATGATCGAAATGGGGACGGAACTAATGGGGACAGAGACCAACAGTAGACCCTTCCCATTGTGAGCAGCGCTCAACGTCGGCGTCGCCGCGGACGTTGTCGATTTGGGATAAGCTACGGCGGCCGTGTCCGTTTCTTGGACAGAAAGTGTTGCCGAGCATCGCCCTTACAGTCAAAAATTCTAATAAGGACGCTCGACTTTGCTCAGGGTACCCTTGCGTCCTTGCTTTTCCTTGCTCTTGCGTCCTTGGGGTTTTCGTCGTCCGTCGCCCCAAAAATCCCAACTTCGGCTTCCAAGGGTCTTGCGTCCTTACCGCGCGTTCTTACAAGGGTTTTTGATTGTACTTGACCTCATACGGAGTCGGTGGCCGACGGCGCCAGGTCCGGGTGAGGACCCTCGGGGGCCGACAGCTGACCAAGGTCAAGTCTTGATTTGAGTCGAAAACTGAGCGAAATGTCCGTCATGAGTTGTTCTAGGGAAACCAAAAAGGGACATAAACATAACAACTCGGAGGTCCGCGCGGATTTCTCGGATCGGCGCTGGGGCCACCCGGCGGCGCCTCCGGCGCCGCCCCTGGCGCGCTCCGCGCGCCAGGGAGGGGTGTCCAGCGCCGATCCGAGAAATCCGCGCGGACTTCCGAATTTTTATGTTTATATCACTTTTTGTTCCCCTATGTTCACAGCGAGCAGAAGTCTTGGGCAGGGATCCACCAGACCCTCTGGCACCCGCCTCGGCGCGCTCCGCGCGCCAGGCGGAGGGGTCCAGCGCTGGTCCGGTCAGTCCGCGCGCGCCTCCGAGAGTTTGTGTTTCTGCAGTTTGGTCGTATGTTTGCATCCCGTAATTTTTACCCGTCGGTCGTTGAAAGACTCCCAGATCCCACTCTACTTTGGGCGCCCTTCTACTTCAAAAGTCGAGCGGTTTTCCCTCTCCCCCCTCTTCGGGGGCGGGCGGAAGCCCAATCTGCTTCCATCGCCTTTCTGTTTCGTGTTTCCACCCACATCTTCCGACCGACGGGCATGTGTATGCAGCTCGTCATTCAAGGGCGCCCTCGAGGACAGCGAAGGTATTCGCGCTTCGCGGTTCGGCTCCGATTCTTCCTCATCCTCCTTTTCTCCCCTGGGAGGCGGCGCGAGAGCGCGAAGATATTTAATCGCGTCGCTCATTCCGCCGGCCCTGGAACGCTATTTGAGGCCTCTTGGGGCCGTCTTGGGGGCTTCTTGGGAGCGTCTTGGGGCTCCTTGGCGGCGTATTGGGCTCCCCTGGGCCCTCTTGGGGGGGCTCTTGGGGGCCCCTTGGGGCGGGAGGGGGGTAGTCGATTGCAGCCCCCCCCTCGGAGGCCACGATCCATGTGAGGGGTGGCGGAAAATAGCCTCTCCCCTGGGGATCGCCAGGGACCCGGCCGGGGGTCAGCCGGGGTACTTTTCGTCCGGGGCCCCCCAGGGGCCGCCCCGCGCACGCGAACTAGAATTATTGTTGAGTAGTTAGCGGAGATCTTAGCACGCCTCTGGCCCGTTGGGCCGGCGAATTCGCACTTCGCGCTTCGCGCAGCGCGAAGCGCGAAGTTGGGAGCCCTTGGTTATTCCTTCCATCCCAGACGGCCGCCGACGTGTCTTCTCGGTCTGGGGGACCCCTCTCCCCCAGGGGACTGGCCTCGACGGCCCCGTGGGACACGGGTCCTGAGGGAGAGGAGGAGGAGGAGGAGCAGGAGGAGGAGGAGGAGGAGGAGGAGGAAGAGGAGGGAGGAAGAGGAGGAGGAGAAGGAGGAGGAGGAGGAGGAGGAGCAGGATGAGGATGATTTTTTTTTGACATCGACAAAGCAGCCACATACACCTTGCCTGGTGGCGAGCCAGGCAAGGGACGCTCCTTGGCGTAAAACCTCCACATATTCACCAGCGATGTCCTGGCGCCTGGAAGGCTGTCTGAAAGAGAAAACCAAAACAGGGGGGGGCCGAAAGCCGAGGGGCGATTTCCAACAGACAGGAGGATCCCCGTCGGCTAACGGCCCCCCCCCCAATAATTAGTCCGAGTCCGAGGAAGCCAAACAGGGTTCCTGCGGAGCTGCAGAGGCGGCCGCCTCTTGGAGGCTGGGCGCAGAAACGACACCGCAACGAAAGGCACTTTCTGGCGAATCGGGCGGCACGTTGCAGGCCTCCTTGTTCACCTGAGGGTCCAAGCCAGGGGCGAACGGAGGCAGACATGGCGAATCTACAATCGTGAGGCTTCGCGTGCATGCTCGCGGGTATTTACCCGCCATGATCTTGTTGAAATTCGTGCGACCGTGCCTGCTGAACTGACCTGGGCAACGGTTCGCCAAATTGCTTTTGGCAAGCGCTCCGTGGTGCAGGAAGGCTCCGCACTTCACACAAAGGAAACAGTCAGAGCCATCGGAAACATGAAAAAGAGCAGGCACATGCGCATTGCTCTCGGCCGCATCCAAATCTGGTTGCGCCGAGCCTACACACTTGCCAGGGCCAGGTTTTGCCTCGGACCTGGACCCTTTGCGACAGACCGTGCAACGCCACATGCCACTACAATGCTGCCACACGTGTCCCTGGACAGGCAGCCCCAGGGGTTTCTCAGGATGCTCGGCACGCAGCTCGACTCCGTCCAACTTCAGCTTTGGCCACTGCGGCAAAAGCTTCGCGGCCAATCGGCACACAGCGCGGGCAACAGCAATGCAGCTCTGAACACGATTTTCCTCGGCCTCAGTGGGTCGAGGATGCGCCTGCGCGCCCATCTTTGCGACGGCGTCAGCGTGGCCATTTCCCCGACGGCGAAAACGCTCACTCTCGTCAAGCTCTGGCTCGTCGGGGTCTAAGTGAGCCCTAACCTTGGTTAAGGCAGAGATGTGGCAGCACTGGTTGATGTACAAGAAATGGCCAGCGTACTTGCGCTTGTGCGACAGTCGTGCCGCCGCGGGCAAGTTAAAATGCGAGACTACCGCCTGGCAGTCAGTATAACAATCACTCGGAGTCCCCAGCTGCAGGGAAGCCTGTGCTAGAGCTGTAAACTCGGCCGCAGGGGCCGATTGAGCAATCGGCGCCCACACAGGCCCATGCAGCGTGCACTCGGGTTGGCCATCAGCCGAGACCTGGACCACTCCCCATCCAGCCCTCGAAAGTTCTGGTATCGGATGCCCGAACAAACTCCCATCTACGAGAATTCGGCCCCCGATCACTCAGTCATCGAAATCGCGATCGTCCCGATACGATTTGATTTCCACACCGCCGAACTCCCTAGGCTGAGGCCAATACCCTTCTGGATGCTCGAAGATGCCGCGCGTGTATAAAATTTCTTCATCCTTCGTGAGCTCCCCACACGCCATCTTGATGATATCCTCTTTCACCAACTCCTCCCTCTCGTCCTTCACGGCCTCACAAGTCCAAAGCCTATGATGCGGGGTGTCAACAGCCTGCTGACAGAGAGGGCAGAGCAGCTGTTCGTCGTCTAACTGGTATCCAAGGGCATGAGCCCGTGACGCTGTCCAGCAGCCCCCACGTGCCAGACTACGAATAGCTCCTTTTGCCACGGGCGTGTAGCGTTTTTTGCGGGCTTCAGATTTGACAGTATCAAAGCCCACACGGTCCCAGGGCACCTCCAGCTTGATAGCAATGGACCTCTCAAGGTCCAGAACGACCGCCCTTCGCAAAATATCCTTGAGTAAAGTAGGACTGACGTAAGTAAGCGAAACAGCAGTGCCACGATGACCCATCAGCGTGGCGAAGTCCCGCATTCGCCACCCTATCCTCTTTACAGACATGTACAACGCACTGATGGGTCCGTGAACGTGTCTCCATGTGATGGGAAGGGTGGCGGACTCGAAGACAGCAGACCAAAGGCGGCGCAGCTCTGGCATGCTAAAACAGAATGGAAAGGCCCTTGTCTGCGCTGCCCAAACCTCCTTGCTCCACCTCGCGATCGGTGCAACCATCCCATACCAGCAAGGCTCATCCTCAAACACAAGTGCAGCAGACAAAGATCGTCCGCCACAAGACGGCCGCAGACACTTGCCAGCCTGCTGCCTGATACGACCTAACTCGGTGTTACTTAGACCGTGAACTTC